GTTCAGCAAAATATGATGTTTTTAGAGCAATAACCAAGTGGTTTTTGTGCCTTAACCTAACCACACACTAAGGACAGCGTTGTTGAAACATAAAGAGATGTTGAACAACATACACTACATGATAATGTACAAATGTAACAATACCAACATTTATTCTGATTGGGTTGCTGCTGTGGTTAAAGTTTGGGAAAGTTTGGGTAAGACAATGCAGATGGAGCTCTTGGTGAAGTTCTGTAAAGACCTGTGGTGTCTCCGGTGTGATGATCCAACCCTGTCCAAATACTACCAGTTTATTCTGTCACGTTTTGTTATTTTGATCAGCAAAATTCAGGCAGCAAAATATATTTCTTGTTGTATATTAGTACGATATAAATGTAACTTATACCAACTAATTATGGTATTTAAAAGTTTTAATTGTAATATGTTGTAATTTTCCAGCTATAATCATAATCAAGTAAATACAAGGACGAGGAAGTTACTAATATACATTTGAGACTTTCTTTATTTAGATTTGTTGTTGATTTTATTATTAATTGGCACAAAGAAACGCTTTGAGGAAGACTGACATAAAACAACAGATGTTGTTTAATATTAAGAAGCCAAAGTCAGCTTTGGGTCTGGAAAAGGATCTGAGTTTCTAGACTTAAATTCACTCAGTTGCACCATAAACAAGGTCACATGACTTCCTGGTTTAATACTGAATATTTTGTCATCCTGACTTTGGTCTATTCTGACATTTATTTCCTGTCTGTCTGTCCTGGAATAGGGATCCTTCTCTGCTGCTCCTCCAGAGCTTTCTCCCTTTTCCTTTTAATGTCTAACTTTTTGGAGGAGAGTTTGTCCTTTTCTGAATCGAGGGTCTAAGGACAGAGGATGTCCTATGCTGTACAGATTGTAAAGCCCCCCTGACGGATTTGTGATTTGTGACATTGGATTGTATAAAATAAACTGACTAGACTTGGCATTTGACTTTTGTGCTGCAATTTTTCAAAAAAATGAATGCTTTCCTGTGGAGACTGGAGGTGTGAGGTTAGGTGGAGTCATATCTGTGTCTCATAACAAACCGTAACACTCAGCGAGGAAGGTTTGAGCCAAAAGGAAATCTCTGTCATTGACACTAAGCTCTCCGGGAGACCTCACTGCATGTAGGACAGCACTCAGGTGTTTGTGTATGTGACAAGTAAACTCTGCTTTACTGGATGCAGGACAATATTAGCAGTGTGTTCGTCCGGGTGTCCATGGAATCTATAGTTGTGTTTCGTCTGACTGCAACCTCTGCAAAACAAAAAACAAATGGGTTCATACAGTCTGTAGACAACAACGTATCTTCATTAATGTTTTCTCCTCAGTGTGTTTGCTCTCGCCTGACATCACACGCACACACACACACACACACACACACACACACACACACACACACAGAATCCTCCTGCTAATTAATTGACAGCTTGTTGAATTGTCATGACTGTTAAAGTTTAATGTTACAATCTGCTGCTTATTATTATTATTATCATTAGTATAATTACAATAATATTCATTCATTTTGTCATCATTACTACTCTTAGTTTTTGTGAAGTTCAGGCACAGTAGTAATAAATGTTGTGTTTAATTCAATTTGGTGCAACATTATTTATTCCTGTGAGGACAAGTGTGTGCAGCAGCTCACTAGCATCCGATGGACAAAGAAAACACTGTTAACCACAAAACTAAAGATAATCAAAAGCTATATGCTCAAAAAAATATTAATACAATACTAATCTATAAAATGAATCAAAAGATCTGATGCTGTTTGACTCCATTCATCTTTGGACAAAACTCTGCAGGCTGTTTCTGTCCTACAGCATTCAATTATCTAGCTTAGGTTTTCAAGAAAATATACATTCATAATATTAGTATTAATATTTCTTTTTTACTATAAGGATTACATAAGGATGATTATACTGATATTGTCTTGCTCTCTGATTGGCTGCAGTGTAACCAATCATAAACCTCTGGTAGGATGACAGAGAGGCTTTAAAATTTAAACTCTGATCTTCATTTCCATAGCTGGTGTGCAAACATTTACATTAACTGTAAAAATCAGTCACTTGCCCCCCACCTCCTTCAACTGTTTCCCCTTTGTTTGCTTGTTTGTTTGTGTGTTTGTTTGTTTATCTTAATATTGGGTGTATTGGGGGGTGTCATCATTTATATCACATTAAAGTGACACTATGTAAATGTATAATGCTAATAGGCCTAATTGTTATTGTTATTATTATTATTATTATTATTGTTGTTGTTGTTGTTATTTTTATATTTTTAATTTTTTTTAAAAGGGCATCATATAGACAAAAGCAAAACATATCACAGAAGCAGTAAAGAATTTATAATGTTTCATATTAACAATAAAGAAAACGTATTCAAGGCAACACAAAGCTAAAACAAACAGCAGGTTATGTTAATACAAATAAACGGATAAATGTTACACTTTAAGCAAGTAAAGAAAACTAATAATAAATAATAATAACTAATTAATAAATTATTTCATTTTCTATGAATTTCAAAATAAAAGCATTTCAGTGTAAAGGTACAGGAAGAAGATTTAAACACAAGCTGAGAGAAAACTGTCACAAAGAATTAACAGTTTTCTTTTAATTTAACTATTTTTAATCTTCAGAAACACAAAATTCGTTTTTTCCTAAATGATAATAAAATTATTGCAACATTTTAAAATAATGAAAACACACCATATGATAGCTTAATGTAGTGGAAATATGACAGAAATGAACTCTAAATCTACAGTAAAAAAACTAAACCGAAATGCATCCGATAAAAATATTTGAATGATAAATAATCTATAACAAAACCAATAATTATAATAATGATAATGGCGGTGCTGTATAATTGAAACTCTCTCTGATCTGATGAACTCTTAATTGAATGTTTCTCCCCATCGTCGCTCGGCTGCGGAGTTCAGAGTGTGTGTGAGTGTGTGTGTGTGTGTTGTCGGAGCGTGTCCCTGCATCCTGAACGCTCTCCGTCAGATTATCAGCTCACAGGTCAAAGGTCAGACGTGTGAAAGTGGCTGTTTGGTGTCACCCCCTCCTCCCCCCGCCCCTCCTCTGTGTCCTCTGGGAATATTAAAACCTCCGGCTCCTCCAGTTTAAATCCTCCCTCAGAAACACTGACACACAAACTGTCTGCTGCCGTTTGTCACCACTCATTTATCTCATGTCATATGAAATACAATAAAACATATGCTGCCCTTTGGAGACACAAACAAAACGGAAAAAAATTAAGCACAAATATTACCAGCTGTTTTTTAAATCACGTCACAATGATGTTATAATACTGTCATAATAACTAACTAAAAAAACAACCTCGGATTTAATGTTTGTAGTTTTGACCATTTTGTTTTTCTGAATATGTTGAAAGAATAATTCTGTCTTTAACTCTTCACTGTTCATTAATTGTCTCGTGAATCAATTAAATCAATCAGTCCATCAATTAACTAATGACTCTCGCACATAATTAAATTTCTTATTAAACATTATAAGTGTAATAAATTAAGTCTGTCACATGACACGTACTTGGTTATTTATTATTGCGTGATAGCGATTATAATTGTAATCATGCTAATAATGAAGCCAGCGAATTTCCATGCTTACTTTGATTTATAATAACAACAATAATAATGTGTGCGCGTGTGCGCGACGTAAATTGTCCTTAATAAATTTAATTTTTTCACAACAGAAAAACTTAAAAACTGAAGTTCTTTAAAGTTCGCAGAAGATAAACTCGTGTCGCTCTGGATAATAAAATGCTGACTTTAAAGATGTGTAATATTTTAAACTAATAACTTGTTTTGATTTAATTTTAAAATACCGATAATACTATTACAAAAACTGCTACTAATAATAATAATTAAAAGCAAAACTGAAAAAAAAACAATGAAGGAAAAAGTATAAAGTGTCTGAAAATAGGCTACATAAAAGAACTGAAATGAAGCTTCATCAGTTCGCTGTTATCCCTATAATGATGGAGTGCTTTAAGAGTTCATCAAAGGCAAAATTAGACATTTATATTTAGCGATTTAAAAACCGTATAACGAGTTAATTTAGTCCCTCAAATAAAGCCTTAATTACTCCATCTGTGTCTCAGTCCGTTACATTTAGTGGTAAAAGTCTTTTTAAATACATAAAATTGAGGAGTCAAATTCAGCGGCTGGAGGAAATGTAACATGTTCGCAAAAATTGGGAGATGGTGAAGCAAATTTCAAGTTTCTTTTAGAGGATGTTTGCTTCATTCAGTGTGATAAAGTCCTGTAGTAAACATCACTGAAGACCGATTTGGGAACGCGCAACAAAGAGATGGAGTTCACTTAGCCTAAATTCAGCCATTTAAAAGGCCGTTAATTGATCACGGTGTGTGTGCATAAATTAAGAGATCATTAAGGTGTTTTAAACATGTTAAGAAATGATTGTCCCATATTGAGATTTTTTTAAATCCATCTTTATTTCATCCTGACGATCATTTGATTTGGTTGCAGCAGGCTGAGTGCAGCAGCTTCAGATCTGCTGTGAAAGAAAAAAACCCGACATAAAACAGAAACAAAGCAAATTGCTATTAAAGCCGCTCAAACAGCAGCTCTCAGCGGCTCTATTTGTCAATGCAAATTGGTGAGGGGCAACCAACACCCCCCTCCGTCCACACACACGAACACACACACATACACACTGTGCCTAAAATGTCGCCAAACACATCAACATACCTCCACAGAGCGCAGCGCAGCTCCGTCACAAACATCCCCGGAAATCAGGCTTCTTTGCTCGGCATTTCTCGGCTCTTTTTGCCGCCGCTTCTTCAAATGAAAATGACTTGTGTTGGCTCAGTGCGTCCATGTAAATACGTGTAAATGAAACCACACTGTGCCCCAGTTTCCCCCCGAGTCCCCTCCCTCCCCCTCCTCCTCCTGTCTATGATCATGTGATGGTGAAGAAGTGGCCCATTAATGAAGCTCCTCTCCGGGGGTCTTTTCTGCTCCTGTCACCGCCGTCCAGCCCACAGACGGGACAGACCGAGAGAGGGACATGGAGGAGGCAGCAGCAGCCGCTTAGCGCAACTCAGCAGCGGGGCAGGAGGAGGACGTACACCGCGCTGCACCTGCCGGGGACCCGCAGCTGACAGACAGGGTAGAGACGAGGAAGCAGCGGTTTCTAGAACTTTTCCTCAACTTGAAGGCGGAGTTGTGGCTCCAGCAGTGTGCGTACAAGACGGGACCATGTGTGCCAAATACCAGGCAAGTTTCTTTTCGTGCGTAACGGTGTTTTGAAGAGTTGGAACTGTCTGGACAAAGTTTGTAAAAAGTGAGGCGAGTCTGTTCTGCTCTCTGCAGACTGAGAGTAAATTTATCCCGGCCCGGCCCGGTCCGGCCCGGTTCAGCAGAATAATGCCTCGCCCGGGGAGGAACACGTACAGCGACCAGAAGCCTCCATATTCTTACATCTCCCTCACGGCCATGGCCATCCAGAGCTGCCCGGAGAAGATGCTCCCCCTCAGTGAGATTTACAAGTTCATCATGGACCGGTTCCCGTACTACCGGGAGAACACGCAGCGGTGGCAGAACTCTCTGCGGCACAACCTCTCTTTTAACGACTGTTTTATTAAGATCCCCCGCAGACCGGACCAGCCCGGTAAGGGCAGTTTTTGGGCTCTGCACCCGAGCTGCGGCGACATGTTTGAGAACGGGAGTTTTCTGCGGCGCAGGAAGCGTTTTAAAGTGGGCGGCATGCAGGTCACGGACCCGCTGGCACCCAGCAAGCCGCAGGATGCCGCCCACTACCTGCAGCAGCAGGCCAAGCTGCGTCTCAGCGCGCTGCACGCGGCAGCGCACCTCCCGCAGATGCCGGGCGGATACAACCTGAGCTCCGTGTCTCAGCCGTCCAGCTTCAAACACCCGTTTGCCATCGAGAACATCATCGCCAGAGAGTACAAGATGCCGGGCGGGCTCGCGGCCTTTTCCACCACCGGGTACCCGCTCCACAACCAGCTGACCCCGGCCTGGCCGCACATGTACGGCTCCGGGATGATGGACACCGCGGCTCCCATCTCCATGGCCAGCGACTACTCCGCCTACGGCATGCCGCTCAAGTCCATCTGTCACGGCGGACAGACTCTGCCCGCCATCCCGGTGCCCATCAAACCCACGCCCGCTTCAATGCCGGGCCTGCCGGGGCTGCCCACACACATCCCGGCTTTCCTGGCGAACTCTCCCCAGTCTCTGAGCCCCACCTCCCCGCAGACAGCCACCGGTCAAACCAGCCCGGCCGCGCCCGGAGAGGCGCTGTCCTCCCCGGCCTCTGCGGCGTTGCAGTCCACGGTGGCGGTGCACTGACTGGAATCTGACTTTTTTCTCTTTTTTTATAAAGGAAAAAAAAACTCTGCGAAAGGGAAAATGACGAACTTCTTCAACTCCAAAGCAGTGTTTCATCTCCAGGACACAAAATGCGCGAATGCGAGGATGTGCGTTAATTATTAGGATATTTCTGTCAGTTTTGTTTCTCTGAAAAGAAAGAAATTCATCCATCAAACGTGAACATGTTTTCCCCATCTTATGAAGAAACAGCAGGTTGACCTCTGGCCTCCGGCAAACAACACAAATATCATTTAGGAAAAGCATTAATTTGTATTTCTTGTGAAACAACGTTATTTCAGAATTATGACAGAAACAAAACTCATTTAGACAGTTTAATCTGTTTCTCTCCACATTCCTTCACAGCAGACTGACTCGGTGTTACCGGTCGGATCGTGTCGTGACAAATTATCCGGATCTTTTGTGTTTGAAGCCTTTTCTTCTCAAACTGAAAGAAAGCGCTCAGATTAATGACTCTTAAAGATTTGTTTCCACTTCACTTCAGCCTCTGTGCTGTTTCTTTTCTGCTCCTGAAACAAAAGTGAAACTCAAAGGCAAGTTAGTTTTTCAACTTGCAGGATTTTCCTTCCAAAAGTTTTAACGCAACAGAGCTCGAGAGGAAAAGCTTCATAAAAATGCAAACAGCATTTAGTGAACCAAATAATTACCCAGCCGTTTTTTCCTTTTTTTTATTATTATTATTTTTTGTAATTGATATGAACAATCGCAGAGATAAAAAAAAGATTAAATAAGACTTGAAATCATATATTTATGTCAGAGGTTCAGCATAGTTTAAAAAGAAAACCACTGGAGATATCTGACCATGAATGCAAGGATCTACTGTCTCTGATGCACTTTTTAAAACATGAAATCTAAATGTTTTTTTTTCAGTAGCTGACAGCCGTGTTGGTTTAATTTAAAGTTTTTTTTTGTTTGTTTGTTTTTTTAAACGCTGTGGTGTTCAAATGACCCGCTGTCTGTGTATTTGTACTGCTGCATGCTTCTGCTGTCTGAAAAAGTAAAAATAATTCCGTGTTTGTGAGTTTCTTGGGCTGAAAGCATAAAGCATGAACATGAACAACGGGCTTTTTATTCCCTGCGCTCTGTCTGCTCATCCAGTTCCATTAAAAAAACCTTCCTGGGAATAAAAACACCAAAAAAGTAATGAATAGGCCTGTTATTCACCTGCACACACACACACACACACAAATTGAGTCAATTTTATTCAATTTACAAATCGTTATTTTTTTCTGGAATATTTTAGGCCTACATTTCAGAGATTTCTTTTAGGGAAAATGTAACTTTTCACTCCATTAATCTGACAGCTGAAGTCACTGGTGACAAAGCAAGTTAAGATTTCGCATTTATCATGGGATTACGTAATATGGCTTTTGCCTGGTAAAAATATTGTATCTTCAAAATGTCCAGTTTTCAGGAGCTCTGTTTCTGCTTGAAAACCGCTTGTGACTTTTAGATATTCTGGCTCACTGTTACTTCAGGTATCATGAAACCTTGACCACATGTCGAGATGTGCTTCATGTTTTTCTAAGAAAATTCAATTTGACCAAAATCTGAACTACGGATGTACATTGTCAATTTGTTCTAATGATCTCTAAAAAATAAACTAACTAAAAAACTTTTTATATAATAAACATTTATTTTTACAGTTGGAAAGCTGCAATTTATCAGCAATAGTGATTGATTACATTGTGATAATTATATGTCTATATTCGTTTTGTCCATATTTCCCACCTGTTGGAGAATTTCTCAACATGTAGAGACAAGTTCTGTTTGTAAATCCTTCAGCTGATCTGAGAGCTGGAAAATCCCCAAACTGAAGGTACAGGATATGTACCAGAGACACTGACACTGTCAAATATTTGACATTAAAATTAACAGGCCCCAAATTATGGGCCGTAAGAGTTACTGTAAACTGTGACTGAAGCTGCGTGCTGTTTTAAAATGACTATAATGACATATTCTGTATGTTCACATATTAACTGTAACAGTGATGCAGCACAGGAGAAAGACATTTTCACTTGAACAGATATTGTTCAATTTAATTTGTAAGTGTCGCACACCTACAGAACACAAAACGTTTTAAATAATTATTCAGTAGTTTAAAAACAGTGTCTTCAAATATTGACAAAACTAATTTTAAATGCACGTTCACATTTGGTGAAAACAAAATTAAAAAACTCCAATCTCTTAACGAATTAGTGTCCTCACTATGTTACAGAACCACACAGCAGAGACTGTGAAGTCATGAGTTTTCCAGCAGCAGCGGACACTGCTGAAACTAAGATGCAGTGGTGGAATGTAAATGCCTATACTTATGTACAAATTTGAGGTACTTGTACTTTACTTGAGTATTTCCATTTTAAGATTTAATTCATTATATTTATGACAGCTTGTTAGTTACTTTTAACTTTTTGATGAAACAATGTATCAGGTTTTATAAGTTCTTCATGTGTTTTGCACATCTCCACCTTGATTAACCATAATCAAAAAATAGGTACTAATTACACATGAATGCTTCAGTAATCTAATAAACACACTCCCAGAGGTCATTTGTTACCACTATGAGTACTTTCACTTTTGATACTTTAAGTATATTTTATGATCCTACTTTCATACTTGTACTAGGTAACATTTCCAGTGCAGGACCTTTAGTTGCATTGGAGTATTTTCACAGTATGATATTAACATGTACTTGAGTAAAGGATCTGAGTATTTCTTCCACCACTGTAAAAAACGCATCATTTCAATAGATTTAAAGATGACTTACAACACTCAACTTAAAAAAAATAAAAACTCAGTTTGTCACCAGTCAGTGCGAGTCTTTATGTCCAACATGTCCTGGAGCTTCAACTCAAAATGTAACTGACAAAACAAATTAAAGTGTATGTTAATATTTACAAATGAGTTTGCATCCTGTCTCAGAGCAACTTCAGATTTAAAACACTATGTGATTGTTGAATTTTTACCTTTAAAGTTACACAATCTTTACTTTAAAGTTGACCTTTTCCCTTCACAGTGAGCCGACTGTATATTGAGTTTATTGGTAAGCTGCAGACTCTCCGAGGTTAATGTGTGTGTCTGATAGCATCAGGTTTTTCTCTTGGCGTGTCTGCTCAGTTTAATCGACTCTCCTTCGCAGTTTCTCTAAACGCTGAAAGACGACAGACAGCTCTTCTGGAGAGAGAAAGGCTCGTCTGAAGAGCTTTTTATTCTTCCAGAGTGACGGAGGTCTGGTGTGTAAACACTGGCCGGTTTGTGGAGAGCGGTGAATTAGCAGCAGGCAGTGTCTGGGCGGCCGTAAGGGATTAGCCAGTTAACACTTCCCTGGTGCCAAACACAATTGTGCGCCGTCAATGTGTATAGGTCTTTGAGTGTGTTGCCGAGAGACGGCGACTGTTACCGTAAAAATGTCAGTTTGTGAACGCTCCCCCCCTCCTGAGCTTTGTGACCACACACAAGTAAAACAAATGACATTTAAACAGGAAAACTCTGCCTGCTGTTGTTGACATTCCTGCTCCGAGAAGAAGAGTGAAGAGGAAGAGAACTGAAAGACTTAGAAAAAAGTTCAACAGAAGAAACAGTCTGACAATCAAATATTTACTGAGGTAAAAATAATCAAGTGTTAGCACTGAAGTACACTAAGGTATTAAAGGTACAAGGTGGAGGAGGAGGAAGGTGATGAGAAGTTCAACCAAGACGAAAGCTGTGATGGAGTGGATTGAGGATGATGAGGTAAAGGAGGTAGTAGAGGTGGAAGAAATGATGATGAGCTGATGATGGGTGGATTCAAATGTCACTCTGTGGAGGTCTGAAGGGATAAAGTCTTTAAAGTTTATTGATTGATTTACATTAATTCCCCAGAAACTCAAACTTTAAAGTCATGATTGATTTGATTCTGTTTATCGTCGCTATATTTCTGCAGCAGCCTACGGAGAGTAATGCAATTCATGACCCACATGACCACTGTGCTGACAGGAGTAAAGACAGAATCAGTATTAAGAACGCAAGTCCGCTTCAGCGGATAGGCTGTGGGGGATGGATGGATCAAACACACACACGACTTTCCCCCAGAGAATCAGTGTTTATGTCCTGTGTGAATCTAAGTGAATGTTGAATTATTTAAAGGTATGTTGTTACCATGTTTTTTTTTTTTTACCTAAACTTAACCTACATAACTTGTCTGAACCTCACCTACAAAACTACAAAATCTAGTTCAAAAGTATGTAACCACATATTCAGTCCATAACTTGATGAGGCCCAACTATGTTTCTTTTCCTAAATTTTAAGTAAATAACTCTACTTGCCTAACCCTAACCTATGTAACTTTACATTAAGTATGTAACTTTGCATTAAATACATAATGTGACAACAACCAACCGTTTCTTTTCCTAAAGCTAACCCTACGTAATTTTACCTTCCTAAAGTTAACTTTACGTTAAGTTGGTAACGTGATGACGCCCAACCATATTTCTTTTCTTAAACTAGCACACATTAATTTACTTTCCAACACCTGACCTACATAATGTGTCTCACCTAAACCTAAACTATGTAACTTAATGTCAAGTACGTTACGTCACAACACCGAACCATGTTTCTTTTCCTAAACCTAAGTATTACTTTCTAAAACCTGGCCTATGTAATGTGACTTGCCTAAACCTAACCTACGTAATTTTACATTACGTATATAACTTTATGTTAAGTACATATTGTGATGACGCCCAACCATGTTTCTCTTCCTTAACCTAGCATATGTAAGTCAACTTTATTAAAGATAACCTACATAACTTTATGTTAAGTACGTACCTCCATGATGCTGCTAGTGGGATGCTCCTTCATTTTCAAATATAGCTCAAACCCTTGTACGTGTATTTCCGTAAGATATCATACAATATGAGGATACACTGACTTAAGGCATTCAAATTCAGTAGTTACCTGTAGTAACTGTAGTACTTTTTATTGTTGTTGCTGGGAGAACATGCAAACTCCACACAAACCTTCTTGCTGCGAGGTCACAGTGTGAACCACTGCACTACCATGCAGCCCCAAGACACACAACACTTTATTTCATACATTGTTATTATAAAAATATTTATTATACGTGCTTTAAATCCTATATGGTATTTCTTTAACCCTGAGGTGTCTGCATGGAAACATTTTAAAAAGCAGCCCTGAAGCTTCTTAACACTGCTGCTGTTAGACAACAGCACACCATGATGTCATCTTGTAGTTTCAGTGGAGTGGAACCAGACAGGATACTATTCAGGTCTGAAATATCACAAACGCAATTAAAGTTAAATATCAGCTGGATGTCCGACGACGGCAGCGGCCCTTTTGCTCGCCGTAAGCTGAGCTGTAATTAATCACGAGCCCCTCGCTGCTGTTTGTGTCCGTTAATTAGAGACTTCAGGGAGAGGCGTGACAGCGAGGTGTCCTCTCAACAAAACACTAATTAACAAATAGTTTCCTCACCGTACGGCGGCCCTGTGCAGAGAGATCACACTGAGGAGGAGAACAACAAGAAGCAGAGAAGACATGATGATGGTGGTGATGATGACACGCTGGTGCACAGAACACCCCGCCCCCGCCAGCCAGACGGCACATGGGTTATTTACACTGATGAATGAATTCACCAGATGATGAAACGCTGTGAAACAAGATGAAGATTTTTACTGTCTTCAATAAGACATGAGAGTCACACTGTGGGAGGTGAGATAGACAGAAGGATGACTCAAGTTCAAAACGACTGACATTCTCATCAAGAAATGTCTTTATAGTTCTAGAGCTGAAAGAAGAAAAAAATTATACATCTGTGAAAGGGAAATTCTGGGCCACCTCAGAGTCCACAGTTGAAGTCCACCAGAAACAATGTTTTCACATCCGGTTGAACCAGCAGTGGGACTGTCGTCAATGAGGAGTGGAAGGAAAACGTTAGCATGTCCATAGCATCATTCGTATATTTGAGTGAGCTCCTTTATCCTTAAATTGACAGGGACTCAACAGTGATGAGATCTCCAGTAGGTGTTTTGAAAAAGTTAACATAAGCCTGTTCACTTCACTACCTTTGCAACGAGGGGAGGCAGCAGAAGACAGCTAAGTGTTTGGACTTATTTCTTGTTCTAGTGTGGATGGAGATATTTTGTAAAACGATTGTGTGGACAGATTTTTTTTTTTAAATGGAGGGAGAAAATATCTGTTTTAAAAAAATATCCACACACGTGTAGACAGGGCATCTATCTAACTCCCACAGTAACTGTTTACATTCTTTCACTCACATTGTGATACAGAGTGACGATGTAAAGTTCCATCTCATCCCCTCACTGAATATGAAGCTATTCAGCCCAGTTTCTGTATTTACATTGCAGTGGTCACA